CACACACACACACACACACACACACACACACACACACACACACACACACACACACTGAATGAATTGGTGATTATTAAGCTTCTGTAGAACTTGAAGAGGCAGTTCAATCACTGAATTGGGTGTGTTAGAGCAAAATCTGTGGTTGTAACATAACATAATGTAACAAAATGTGTAAAACTTCAGGACACATTTTTTTAAAACAAGTGTGAAAAAAAACAACCTTTCAAATTTTTTCTGCTTGACTGCGTATTGCATAAAAACATAGTTTGAACTGAAAAATGCAGCAACAACTTTTCGTGTTTTGTTAGTGAAACTTTAAATTAAATGAAACCTCATTTTTAAATGTTTATGTGTAGGAGTCCAGTACAGCTCTACCAGATGATAAAATATGTTGATTCGACAGACTAACCTCTCCATAAACTCCAACACGGGTGCGATCAACATAGGGCAGCTTCAACACGTATCTGAAATCATCACAGTGGATATATAATAATATTAAGAATTAACATTTAGAGGTCTGAAAAAAATAGAAATATTTTACAATTTATTTCCAATTAAACACTCAACTGTAGCTTTAAAAGGCTAAAAAAACGTTGACTGACAAAAGCAGCAGGAAAATAAAATCAGGAAGAACACGTTGGCTGTGTCTCAATTCAGGGGCTGCATCCTACTGAGTGTGCATTGGTCACTTCCCCGCACCATGAGCTGTCTCAATTCATGGGCTCCTTCTCATGCAGCCAATGCATGCAGCACACAACATCTTGAAAATGAAGCCTGCATCTGAGTATCAATATCGAGCGAGGATATCTCAAGATTCATTGCACTGTCAGCAAACTAAATAGAAAAATGAAGAGGGCAGAGATTTTTTAATGTTTAATAACAAGTTATTCCTCCAGTAAAAAGACAAGTGGATGTACGTCCCAACGCATTTTAAGTCTGAAGTCACGTGATGTGAAATGATCACTATGGTAATGAGTTAGCATGTGATCACACAAACATACGTCAGGAGAAAGCTAGACCGTGTCATGGTCTGTGTTTCTATGCCTTGGTTTTTCCTAGTGTTTCAGTAGCTACGTTTGCATGAACATAAGTAATCAGATTAAACGGCCATTCGGAATAAAAATGCATCATGTAAACACCCCATTCGGATAATTCTGACCTGATTTGGCTTGATCCGAATGAATTTGTAATCGGAACAAGAGAGGTGGTTTATACCGATTGATAGTCCGAACGACGTGCATGTAAACACTTTTTCCCCCCAGGGGGACAGGGAGTAGTTCTTTAATCATTTTATTTGTAACACAGATTAACAA